TGGACTTCAATGCAAGGATTTCGCCCACAAAATACACAGTCAATCCACTTGACATTATATTCCATGAAGCGCTTTGAGACTTCTCAACGAAGTTATAAGGCGCTATATCAAATGCAAGGATTATTATTATAAATATTATTATTAGCATTCCATTCCAGTTAGGGGGTGGTGGGCGGAGGCGATATTTATCTCACAAATTCAAGGCATTTTAGCCCACACAATACTGTACCACAGACAGCCCAGAAACCACAGGTAACAATCCAGGTTGACTTATAGGATCAATAATAACCAAGAAGATGATGGTCGCACCAATGATGCTTTATGTAGCTGCTGTGTAACAATGGCGAACACTGGGTATTATTATGATGTTACTACTTCTGCCCCCTCATATGGTGTTTCCAGTCTGAAGCTCTACTTGTCAAGTTCAGCTATCAGTCTTGCAACAAAACAACAGCCACAAAGCACTTCCCACGGCAGAATGGGAACTTGAGCAGCGGTGGGAGGAGAGAGGAAAATACTGAGGAAGTGGGAGGGTGGGGTGGGAGGACATGATTGAACTTGCAGGTGAATAGGCCTCAAGTCAGGATTTTAAGCTAAGAAGGGGTGGAGGCAAAGCGGAATCAATGCAAGAGAACAAGGGCAGAGTGACTTAAAGCTCACTCAGTACTCAGGCCTATTCACTTAGTAACAGCAGGGTGGAGAATATGAATCAGTCCAGTGTTTGCTGAGGAGCATTTTGCCTACAAAATACAGTCATGACATATAACAGTGAGTCCTGCAAAACGATTTGGGCCTTCTTCCTGACGTGAAAGGCACTACAATCAAATGCAAGGATTATTTAATTTATTTAGGGTGGGACGAGCCTGTGAGGAAGTTTGAAAGCGAGGCCAGGGATCTGAATTTGATCCACTGTACACAATAATTACCCTCCTATATATATAGATAGATAAGTAGATAGATATATACACACACACACATAGTATTTATATTACCATGGTGTTCCTTTATGCAGTTGAAATCACAGCTGGACATTATTTAAACTATCTTTCTCGAGCTACAACAACAGCAATGTGCTGGAACAAAAAACAGAAAGTATTACTGTTGCACTGCCACAAAGTCCAGGATGATTCTTAAATTATGGATTTGGCTGACAGACTGATAGCTGAACTTGGCAAGCAAGGCTCATGAGTCAGGCTTGCATCCAAACACTACTCACTGAGAACAGCCTGCTTCTTCATAGGAGGCAGATTCTGCCTCTAAACTGAGCAGCCAGAACTCTAAGATGTCATCAGTCAAGACTACACAATCCCATCATAAATAATGATTACAATCTTTTACAATTATGTTTGAAATGTTATTATTTACTAATGTTATATATAATATTATGTGTGTATATATATATCCAAACAAATATACATTTTATTAAATGTACTTGCAAAATCCTCCATCCAAATCTCATCAAACTAGGCCAACAGAGGCCAATGGTTCAATTTAAGAGATGACAGTCAATGGGGATTAGAAGCATGGAACTGTATAAATAATACAATATAATAATAGCAATATTATTATTATTGTTACAATGCACAATTGTGTGGGACACTGCTGTGCACAATTGGCTGCTGCGTTTCGCCTACAAAATATACAGTCAATTTGCTTTACAGTATATTTTGTGAAGCGATTTGAGACGTTTTGGAGACCTGATAAGGCTCAATCCACGACTGTTTACGGGACACTGCTGTGCGCAATTGGCTGCCGCATTTCACCCACAAAACACACAATCACTACACTTTACAGTATATTCTGTGAAGTGCTTTGAGACGTCTCGAAGACTTGATAAGGTGCTGTATCAAATGCAAGGATTATTATTACTAGTCGTAAATAATACAGCCCAGACAGAGATCATTCAGGTTACTGGGCTGGGCAATGCAACTCAGTTCTGGTGCATGCTTTTGAAGTCCCTAATAAAGTCTCTGTGTCTTGAGATGCTCGGTTGATCACTTAAACACTGATTTGCAGGGCAAGTGCCCCTCTGTTCCTAACTCGCTTGTTTATTTTGTGACATTTCAATATCTTTTTAAGAAATTAAATTAAAATTTATTTTGGAATGTTTTCACTGTGGTTTGCTCTCTCCTCTCTGAGCCTGCCAACCGCGACCGACCCGGTCAAATTCTCCTCCCAGACCTCAGTCAACACCGCACACGTTTTAACATTATTGGCCAAGACGGCAGGAGTTACTCTCGCGCACCTCCTAGTGGACACTGACAGAGCTGCATCAGCAGAGGCCTGAGACCCTATCACCTGTCCAGCTCTGGGTTCTCAGCTCAGATGAATTTGCTTTTCTTTATCAAAAAAAACACATTGGTAGAAAATCATCGGCAAATATGTTGATCTGAATGCAGTTTTAACATTGATACTCATTCAAATCTTGGAAAATGTCTGGCCCAGCTACATCCCAAATATTATTATAATAATAATGCTTGCATTTAATACAACGCCTTTCACGTAGGGAGAATGTCTCAAAGGGCTTCACAGGATTTACTACGAAGGGTAGTGGCTGTGTATTTGTAGACAAACACTCACAAAAAGGAATATGAACAAGGATATTTCATTTCTATTTGGCTACTGGTTCTGCAAGTCCCAAGTTTATGTTCTAGAAATGTTCATTCTCAGAATAATTGACTTCTCTAAA